ATGTTCCATAAATCAGCAGGATGATTCTCCCTGGCAATAAAAATATAATCTCTAAACGATGGTGAAATCGTAATGGTTAGTGGCAAATTGAATCAAACGGATGCTGAGAGCAGAAGATAGCCTGGCAACTGACATGAAGGCACCAGGGCCATCGCTGTTATTTGACCCTTCTGAAGAACGGTTGAGTATTAGACTTACACGGGATGTGATGAACTGCTAGACAAGCAGGTGAATGAATGTCAGCAACAGAAGTGTGCTTGGCGCAGACGCGTTTTGCAAATGGTTGCTGCAGTGTTGCAGCAGCTACGAGGTTGAACGACGTAAAGGCAAACGGCAGGGGCAAGCCAGCGGCAGGCTGTAGGTGGCAGCAGCGGCGATCTGGCAGCAACAGAGAGTTAACACAACAAACGGCAGGCGATCAGTCAGCAATGCACGCACACAACGAGAGGAAATGATTAGAGTGCAGCAAACTTTACGACATTCATTCATTCTTAATAATTCTTCACGTTCGAGTTTCAATCTCAAGATTCGTTCACGCATGCGGCGTTGTAGAGGGAAGGCGGCAGTGGATAAAAATGTCAGAATGTAAGTGGCGTGAACAGGGACGATAAATCATTGATGCGTGCTTGAATGTACACCTGTCAAAAATGGTACCGAAGTACTATGCTACTGAAGTACAATGTCCGAATAAAACAATAATCTCGCCATCGGCATAAACTAATGCAGAAGAAGCAGTACGTATGTTTACCTGACCACAGGATACAACACAGCCCATCGTTTTCGCAGCAACACTACGGACAGCGGAAGAGGAAGTCGCAAGTGGCAACAGCACATGCGCAGGATTGTGCGGATTAAGTGATGGATCAGCAGAAAGTGTATATCAATTGGTGGCGGTCGGAAGACGACACCATCTTCTTAGATACGACCCTGTGGCGGCACCACTGTGTCCCTCCTCGATAGCGTTCGTTGTCGTCATACACGGACGACGGAGCCGGCAGCGGCGGTCGATCAGTCGAATTCAGTCGAGTTCGAGTCGCGTCAAGGGAAGAAGAAGAGTGGCAAGGAGCACTGGGCGATGAATGAATGAACGGCGCTGGCACGATGACTACTACAGCTCCTCTTCTACCTCCTCCGGACGGACGCCTCTGCTGAATAAACACGCGCCGTGGTGTCAGCTGACGTGTGCCACTGCCACCGTGAATCTCGCCGCGCAAGACAAACGACGATGCTGCCAGATCGGCGGGACTCAGTCTGCATATTTAGTGGTGAACGGTGTGGGTAGTCAAAAACAGTCAACGAGCAGCGCGAAGCTGCGCTTATCCCTTCGCATTCACCTCCATTCAACGAGTAGGCGTGAAAGAGGATCTCAGGATGACCGAGCGCACACGTGGCCGAAGGCTTTCACTTTCACTCACATCACTTTTGCACAAACACCCGCATACTGAGGTTTCTCTTTGTCCTTCATTTTATTTCGACATGTTTTTTGAACACATAAAAAATTAAGCGAAGTAGCAGCCACTGTAACCATTAGCTGGCAATACGTGCAATAGACGATGGGCGCACGCTATCACGTGATTGTAAACTATGTCAGCCGTTGTAATACGTCACTGCCGACGCTGATTCCATGTCAGCTAATGCTATTCAAATCTAAGCTACACCGAAAAAGACAGCGGCATCCGAAGAGTGATTTTACGACGCCCTTTCATTACTGCACAATAGTGTTCATGAGGATGAAATGAGTGTTCGGCTTCTTTGAAACTGCCGACGAGTTGATGATTGGCTGGTATGCTCAGTCGGTCGTGGCGTTCATCTTCGTGACATTCTTTTTGCTCTCGTTTCTGCCTGCCCACGTTATTCCTAAGCGCTTAATGTTTGATGTTGCTACCAGCAGGTGCAACACCAGAGGCTGTTTAGTACTGCAATCCAAGAAAAAGGCTTCCTTCAGACCTTCCACAAACTATAAAAATTTCATGAACATCTTATGCCTTCGGGAAGATCAATTCATTTTGTATATCATCAGATCTACTCACACTTCTCATATCGTTTCCAAAGTTTCCCAAAAGTAACACTTGTTTACCCTCTACGTGGACAGATTCCGCATATAAGAAGCAAAATAATCA